CACGCGAAAAGAATCTAAATTTACTCTCACGAGCCACATTTTCAAGAACAATTCATCAATCCTACAATTGGGTTTCTTATATTCTTACTACTGACCAAGAAGGTCCACAGAATTACGATACTCAAACGACCAGAAGAACAGCAAAACGAGCAAACTTTTTTTCGCGAGAGAAACCCCGAGGAATCGAAAAGAGAACCTCAACACGAGAAATTCCAGAAGCGGGTTCAGAAGATTAATGGAAATTAATCAATTGCGTAAAGAATTAGACGATTAGAGCAAGATTACGATGGCTTACTGGCTTCGAATTCCTCGACGGAAGACATTTGGGAATTTAGGGTTTAGCAGGACGCATGCAAGGGTAAATCACTCATATACCAAACCTGTCGCATGAATTGATGGGATACACCCAAAAAAAATATAATCCATTAAATTTTATTCGAAAATATCATATTAACCTTAATGAAATCATGTAATTATAATTATAATATCGTAATTGATTCTAAATACAGTTACAATTAATTCTGAAGTTGCAATTAATTCTGAAGACAGTTGCAATTGATTATAAATGAACTGACAAATATGTCTAATTGTTTACCAGATCTTTAGTTGTTATATGATCGTAATTACTTCTTTTTTTAGTCGTATACTTGTTATATAATAGTCGTAATAAAGTCGTAAAAAATATAAAAGAAATGTTATTTCGGGTTTTTTAAAGGCAAAAGTGGTATAGAATTGAAAAAAAAATTAACTTTTTTTCGGAGTGTATCGCTGAAATTGTTGCGACAGATTTGGTATATTTGAGTGATTTTTCCCGCATGCAAGGGGGTCAATAAAAAAAATTACTCGTACCTCTCTAAATTCGGTCTCTCTTTACTTTTTACAACTCTTTTTATTTCCAAATATTGATCCGGATTTGTTTATTTAAATTAGGGTAAAACCCCTAAAAAATCTCCAATTTGCAAAAATATATGCAAATAAACCTTCAACTTGAAAAAGTGTCATTCTATCCCCGAACTTGTAACTTATCACTGAATAAAACCTCGAACTTGCAAATTATTATTCTAATAAACCTTTGACCGGTTTGATCACAATTTCAAACGATCGGAAATCCACGTATTGACGGATTGCTGATGTCATTTTTTAAATTAAAATTGATAACGTGTATAAGGTGAAATCAGCAATCCGTTAATACGTGGATTTCTGATCGCCTGAAATTGTGGTCAAACCGGTCAAAGGTTTATTAGAGCAATAATTTGCAAGTTCGATGTTTTATTCAGTGACAAGTTACAAGTTCGGGGATTGAATGATAGTTTTTCAAATTGAAGGTTTATTTGTATATATTTTTGCAAGTTGGAGGTTTTTTAGAGGTTTTACCCTTTAAATTATCAAACTTTTTTTATATTACATTTAAATTTATTTTGACTGGGTTAATTAAACTTGATTTTCTAAAATTATCTATATATAATATTTATTTTTAGATCAGATTGATAAATATTACCATATGTTAGTTAAATCCATTTGTTTTATATATCCAAATCTCTCTCTCTCTCTCTATATATATATATTTCTAAGATATATATTATACCTGAATCCATCAAATTCTGTTAATTATCTTAGAAAAACGCCTCCTTTTCCTTTTCATCATCCACAATGGCAAATTCTCCGAATCATTTTCAGATAAATATATAAAATTTTCCTTCGTGTTTGCTTTTTCTTTGGTCAATTCCGAAACCACAAAACTATAAAACTTGTACATTTTCATGCCGACATATGCAGAAGCACCACTTGAGCTTTATATGCAGGATATACTCGGAGGAAGAGCCCTTAAGCGAGACCCATCACGGGTTTGCTCGGAAACATCTACAATGGTCAAGCACCCTTTGCCAAGCAGACAGGTTTCGTCCCGCCCAAAAACGGCGTGGCCATTCCCAGCGCAAACGGTGCCCTTCCGGCAGTCAATGGCCTCAACGGTGTGCCCTTAGCTAGGAACCGGCTTGTCCGTCCTACCAGAGCTTGGGGTGAACACGAGTCGCATACCCCAAATTTTTAAAAAACTCTATCTCGTCTTTGTCATTACGGATTTTACAAAAATATTATCTCAATTTTGGTTTCATAAAATCCGGGTACTTATAATGAGATTCTCGATCTTGTACTCGCGAATATTCGGACCCATACAACTTATGAAATTTTGAATTATGGAATGATAGATAGAGATAGAGAGTACAAATGAGAGATGTCAAAGTATAAAGAGGAAAGTTCACGATGAAGAGAGATCCGTGAGAGTTTAAGAGAGATGAATGGTTAATTCGGTTGTATAGAAGAAATAAAGAAAGAAAAAAGTTAAAATAAGATTTGGAATGGTGGAATTTTTAGATAAAAAAAATTAACGAAATAAAAGTATTTTAGTAAATAATAAGAATAACTTAGATAAATATTATAAATATAAAAAATATTTTAGATTTTTAACAAATATATCGGGTACTCTCGCGTAATCATTGTAAAATAATTGAAACCCGAACTTAGATTCGGAGTTGAAAACTTAGTCTCGTTAATACTCGATCTCATCATCGTTAATATTCAGGTACCCTTTATTCGGGTACTTGTTAAGCCGGATACCTCCAAACCCCGGGTTATGGATTAAAACGCTCACCCCTAATCTGCACAATGGCGGTGGGATTCAGACACAGTTGGGTCCTAATGGTCTTAGCCTAGGGTTCAGAACGATAACAATGATCGATGATGTACTTACAACTGGTCCTGAGATGGGCTCTAATCCACTCGGAAAGACTCATGGGAGTTTATGTAGCGAGCTCCGCAGATGGGTCGATCCAGATGATGGCTTTCACGGCCATGTGAGAAGGCGGAGTATAATGACGAGGGACAAGAAGGTTCAAGAATGCTCGTTTGGTTAGCACATTACGGATGGAGCTGAGTAGTCGCTGAGGATCATAATCCATCTCAAGTACTGAGAACACAAAAAAGTTGTGTAATGCACAAAGGGAAATGATGTCATCTTTTCCCTTGTTAGCGGCGGAATCTCCACGAGAACAGATCAGATATCCGAAATTTTTTAGATACCAATGATTTTAGGTATATGATATCCCAAATACTCTGATACCATCGACAAAATTACGAGGATAGGAGCCAAAAGCGACGGGGAAAAAGATGTGTCCGAGAGCGAGCAACGAGATACCAAAAGCGATGCGAGAAATCCCAAGAAAGACGCGTCTCCAAACCCTAATAAATCCCTAAACCCCCTCGCGAGTCATGCCCTCCCAGCTCGGCCATTGCCACTTCACAGCTCAAATTACCAACGGATATTCAGATTCTCGTAAAGACAGCCTATCCTATCAAACTCATAATAGAAAGGAAGCATTAAAAGTGAACATTAGCAGGTGACAAGCCATAACACAGACGGAATAGCAGCATTCCCTATTTGCTAACAAGCCAGAGAACAATAACGCCGCTCTCATTCCTTACATACTCCATTTTTCGTTTACGGACTATATGTTGAAGAGAAGTGGTATCTTACAAAGTAATGAGATCACATCACATTCACACCTCATGAGTTGCTGCATGAAACTGCTATTGGGGAGGATAGTAAGCCGGGTAGTACTGCTGCGTTGGCAAAGGGTATCCACCGTAACCGGTTTGTTCACTGTAGTAAACCGGATTCACATTCGGTTCCGTCGGATATAGCTGAGGATTTGCAGGGTCTGCATTGCCAGGATAACCTGCCGATGTTGCAACCGAACTGTATACCCCGGGCAATGAGCCAGCAGCGTAGGGGATGACCCCGTGGTTTGAGCTCACTAAGCCGCTGTAAGGGTCCACTTGGTACGAGCCGGGATGACCCGGCAATACACCTTCTGGGTTATGGAACTGCGGCTGCAGCTGTAGCTGTGGCTGCGGCTGTGGCTGTGGCTGTGGTGGGACCATTGAATTGTAACGGTTAGGTGGACCGCGGTTAGGTGGTCCGCATCGAGGACGTTTTTTCCCCCTCTTGCCCTGCTGCTGCTGCTGCATATTGTTAAACTGTCGTTTCATTGGTTTCTGCGGCTGCGGCTGCTGCCTATGGTTAAACTGTTGTTGCATTGGTTGCTGCTGAGGCTTTGGGGGATTTGTATTGCGTTTCCTCGATGCTTTCTCTTTCTCCAGCTCTTTCACTCGTTCCTCGAGGTTCTCCAAAGAGAACTCCGCTTCAAGCTTGTGCTCTTTGATCACTTTGATTACTGCCCTCAAGACACCGATTTCTTTGTCAGTAGCTTCGATCTGCCAGTTATTTTGGGATCAAGACTCAATTTTTTGACATTTCGATGAACTGGGATTTCCAATTCGTGAAAAGAAATGTAAAAGTTACCTGAGCCTTAAGAGAGTTACGTCGTTTCTCAAGGACTTTCTGAGAAGCCTTTCCGGATTTCTCGAGGTAAGATTTCAAGATGGTGACTGGATTGAATTGGACCACGTGAAACTCAACTATAAATTTGATTGAATGAATTACGTTGCCCCTATCTAGAATTTCCTTGATGATATCTGCCATCAGAAAGGAAGGTGCTTAGTTTCTCAATTCTAACAATAATAAAAAGATCAAATACAAGACAATTGAAAACGGACGAGCATTGGATTATCAGCAAAAACAGTGAACAGGCAACAACAGAACACACATCGAACAAACCGAAGAACATAATCGTCAGGAAGATGGCTACTCATAATTGAAGCAAAATGTCATAGAATCCAAGTAAATAAGTGAATATTTGGTCATAATAAACCTTTCATATTAAACGGTGCCTCCTCTCTTCTAAACACATGTGGCACCTTAATAAACCGTAAAACCAAATCGTGGAACCCTTTACACCAACTCCACAACATTCCACATTGAAAACCTAAGAAGAACTTCCAGCCTCATTCTCCAATTAGAGTTAATCATGATCTTACAAATCCTATCAAATCAGGAGTAAGTTTTTGATATGGCAGATAACAACAGACATGTTACGACCAAATGAATGTAATATCAGCATTAAGAGTTTTAAATGGCGCTCAGGTTCCATTTGCACTAGTCACGTTGACAAAGCCTACAACTAGATGTTACCACTTGCAAGAAACTATTCTACAGTCTCCCATGTCTAGATATTATCAGGACATTTAAATCGTGACCCAAAGTCCTGTGCTAACATCAAAAGCACCTCAACTTACCGCAAGGCTCAACTCTATTAAGTTTGTTTTTCATTACAACTCAAGCATCAACTTCAAGGTATACCAACAAATCCAAAGCTGAAATCTTTTTCTCTTTCGTATTACATCGCCCAACTTCTTCAGAGTATATAATCCACCACTGAACTATAAAAGTTGAGACTCTCAAGAACATTTGACATTACAAAGTTATGCCTAGGATTAACCAAACTCCACTTCTTCAATGTTTATGTGTGCATATGTATGATTTTAAGGCCACCAAACTTTTGCTGTTTTACATAACAATGCTATGCATATGTCAATACAACAAGCATTGTCCTCTGTGTTTATGTACGCAAGAACCGATACGAAGCTAGCAAACTTTCACGATATGACCAAGACAACAACAGTGCAGCTCATGCGATCAAAAGGGTCAATATAAAATTGAAAGATTATATCGGCATATAATTTAGAAGTATTTAACTGAAGATATAGAAACAAGAAACCTGCAACTTTGTCGCCTAAGCCAATCTTCCTACACAGGAAAGTTGCCTCCTTGTACTTCGAAATTAGGAAGAAGTAATCAACAAGCTCGTCCGGATGAAACTCAGAACTCAACTCGTACGCTGCTACAAAGTGCAGAAACGCTAGCATTTCCGCAGCCTTGCGAACATCGAGACCAATCCTTCTTCTCCAATCAGAAGCCACCCTCTTAGCTCTATCCCTCACATCAAAACCCAAATTCGCATCGATTTCCATCAAACAACTCAACAACGAAACCAAAAACCTTCTTACATCGGCGGATTTGTCCGAGCATGAACTCTCTGCAAAGAAACCCTCGACCGTATCCAGAACCATCGCCGCCGGATCACTAGCACACCGAATCGCCGAAGAAAACTCACGCTTGATTGCCGCTTGATCATCCGGATGATCCATAGCGTACCGTACCAATCTTTTTCCGTCCATGTTATCGCATAACGGTCTCAGCTCCGGCCGAGCCACCGACCCCTGCGCCTCCCCCTCCGCCTCCCCCTCCGCCGCGGACTTGACTCGCTCGGTAGGATCCGGAGGTGGCTGGAGCGATTCGAGGAGACGAAGACGGTCAGAGAGTGAGGTCTGGCGGGAGGAAAAATGGCGGTCGATATCAGACCATGAGAGAGAGAAAGAAGGCGAGAGGAGAGAGGAGTAAGCCTGGAGATCATCGAAGGCCTTCTTCAAGCTTTCCTTCTTGGAATCAATCTGGTTTATCGCGGCGGCGATTGTTTCCACTGTCGCCATTGTTGGAGCTCCGTTTCGTACCATTCTTCGCCGGCGATGTCGATGTATTATGCCCTACGCTTAAGACGGCAGTATATATATAATTTAATATCTACATAGATATTATACATATATATATATATATATATATATATATCAACAATTGGGCTTGTAATTTTATTTGGCTATATATATATATATATGTATCAACAATTGGGCTTGTAATTTTATTTGGCTATAAATTTCGCATTTGATTATTATCTATTCGGGTGATATATTGGAAATATATTATTTGTCTGACTAATAATTTGCAAGAGGATGATATTTAGATTTAACCAAATAGTTGTAGTGACCTATCAGTATTAGCTCTTGGGAAAATTTAACTTTTGATTAAATATTGCACTATAAATTTTATATCTATAGATATTGATAGAAATATTATTTTAAAACAACAATGAAATTTTGGATTATATAAATATAAATAATAAAATACTCTATAAGAAATTTGGAGAATTGTATTTTTAATTCTTTCAATTTGTTATATTTTCAAATTTTAAAATAAAGAATTTTATATGTAAAGAATGATTCAATTACATTTTTTAATGGTATAATAAGATAACAGAGAAAAAAAAAGAAGGCCATTTGGTGTTTAAATTCAAAATTTTCAAATTTCAGAAATTTAGAGTACATCCTACTGTCGTTGTCTATTTTTTTTTAGTATTGGTGAATTATTCAATCAGTAAAAATAAGAAGTTAATTTGCTGAAGGCAAGATCGAAATATTGAAAAAAGTGATAAACATATTTATTTTTTAAAAGAAATTTAGATATTTTCCGTTTATTTTTTAAATTTGATTTTTAGTCATAAACTATGCTTAATCCCATAAGAATTAACGAACTTATTCCATAATAGAAAAATAATGAGAAATTAGAAGATTAATATCTGAATTCACAAAATTTTCCTAAATAAAATCTTTATTTTATTTTTTACATTTTAAAATTCAAACTCTCATATTTGTACATAAATTAATCTTAATTTTATAAATCATTTCAAATTTAACTCTAAACGTTTAGATGACAATTTAAACAAAGATATGATAATTTTAATTTTATCACATAATAGATGATATCTACAACGTTTTGTCAAAATCAAAATTATCACGTTATCGTTGGAGTTGTTATATCATCGTTTAAAGTTAAATATGATATGATTTATAAAATTTAGGTTTATTTAAATATGAATATCAAAATTCGGCTTTTAAAAACATAAAAATTAAAGTTTAGATTTTTTTAAAGAAATTCGACAAGTTCAGTATTAATATACTAATTTTCCAAAATTAATTTCCATACTTGTACGTTTCGATAAAAATTAACCAACTCGAAAATAATATCAGAAAAAAATACCTGAACTTATAAAACGTTGTCGGAAAAAAGGTGACCAATATTGTGACACGTCAGCAAAATTTTAAACAAAATATTAAAACTTAATTTTGATCGATTAAATCGGTATTAAATGGTTCAATCTCCAATTTTTTTTTTTTAAAAAAAAATAAATAGGTACAATTCTAATGACAAAATTTTCAGGTTGGTTAATTTTTAATAGGAACATAGAATTTTGGAATTAATTTTCCAATGTCGAGAATTCCGTAATTTGTTATGGGATTAAACCTAAAACTATCATTCCATTAATTTTTTTCTTTAATCAAAATTCAGTTCAACTACAATTATTTATTATTAAAATCGGATCAATTCATGACCCCCAACCCCCCCTACTTTACTTTCCGTTACAAGTAATAACAAAAACCTTTCCTTCATCTGGAGGTTTTAGTAAGTCAAAAAGATGAAAAGTCTATTGACACGTGTCTGTTTCGCACATGCGAGCTCGAATCCTATTGGACACCGAGCATCACCCACATAACTAGTGTAATCACCATATTGCCATCCTTTTCCATCCATATTCACGAAAGTACCATCACCGTAACAGTCTTCGTCTTTAAGCGAAGACGAAATTAAAAGGGTAAAAATATAGAGAAAATGACATTTTTCTACACGAATTTATCAAAATGTCATATTTTTCTATACGAATTTTTAATTTGACAAATGTCTATATTCAATTAATAAATTTTTTAAATACCTACACGATTTATCCAATTTTAATGCAATTAACTATACAATCCGAAATTATCAATTAATTGTTGACATAGAAAGCCACGTGGCAGTTCACGTGGTATGTCACGTGGGATTTTTTGTCATGTCAGCACGAATTAAAAAAAATAAAAAATATAAATATATTTGTATGTATACATATATATATATATATATATTTATAAAATTTAAATTTATACAATATATATTTTTTAAAATAAAAAAATTAAATTTATATACATACAAATATATAAATATATATGTGTATATTCATATATATATATACAAATACAA